TTCGCTGGAAATTTTATTATTCGGTTGCTTTGGAACGTCTTCTTTTCCAATGTCACCTGGTACTCCTGTCTTTTCAGAGCATCTTGGTACTGAATCCGTTGTGTTGCCCGCTGTGGTTTTGATACCAGTGTCAGTCGTAGAACCACCAAGCAATTTGTTTTTTTGATCAAATATTTATCCATTTATCCTACGTTAAATAGGTATTCCGGTTTAGGCATTTCTTGAATTGTTTGTTTCTTTGTCTTATTAATTTCCGAGTAGTACATTTAACACAGGATTGAATAAAATTAACTACATCTCTGTACATATTTTCCCAAAAATATCTACTCCTAACTTTATCGTTTATCGATGCTAGTATGAGAACCAAATGGAGATTCATGAAAATCTTGTAAAATTTTAATTTTGAAGGAATCAGTGATGACTAATTGTAGCCGTTGGGTTTAATCATTTTGAACAGGGCGGGATATGTGATAAACTACACCGAATAAAAGAACATAGTCATCTATGGATTTATCGTCTGTGCCAGATACTAAAGCTTTTCGCAATTTACGAATGTCAGAGTCTTACGATTGAAGTTTTCGAGGAAACGTCAATTCTAGTCTTACTGTGCGTTCGTCATGCTCGTCATTGGAATCAAAGTCTGCGGTAAAATCGTCAGGCAATTCGTCATGGGCGGGTTTATCAGTGTCAATAACTAATAAGTCTTTGTCAATTTGCGCGCCATGGTTTTTGGACCGAACACAGCATTTCCCCAAGCATAATACTCCAACGTTGAATACGTGGTTTTTTATTTTCCGCTGTAAATAGAGCTTTGAGGGGTTTATGGTCAGTAAAAATGGTAAAGTCAGCACCGACTAATTAATGCAATATACAATGCCTCTTTCTGTAGTGGATATCGTAAGTGAGTTGATGCGAAACATATTGAATGACTCTTTCGCCCTCGGGGAAGTCTTAATACACCACCTATTGCGTATCTGTGTATAACTTATAGGGTTTAGTTAAGTCAGGATAAGTTAATATAGGGGCTGATATAAGCTTCTCTTTTAGTGTTATAAAACTTGCGTCTACTTCAGGTGTCATAAAAATTTGGCATTTTTCTTAGTCAGATTAATTAAAGGGTGTGAAATTTCAGAAAAATGAGGAATATACTTCCGGTAATAAGAGGCCATACCTATGAATGAACGTATTTGTTTAACATTTTTAGGCGCTGACATGTCTTGTATGGCACTAACTCTTTATGGGTTGTGCTTACTACCATCCTTAGTATGACCAAGATATCTTTGGATAGATCTCGTTAGAGGCAACCAGTTTGCTCTCAAGGTCACCAAAGGTCAAGGTCACAAGATATGAGCCTTGACATTTTTTGCCGATATTGGAAGAAATCAACCGGAAATAACTCGAAAGCAAAATCGAAATTAAAAAAAGGCTCCCACACGATTGTTAGAAATCGTTCACTGATAATATAGACATTAAAATAATGTAAATCCGATTAAAACCTGATCCCTGATTTCCGGGAAAATTTTATCATTTGAAATCTTTAGATAAACAATTCTAGCGTGTCGCAAAAAGAATTTTCAAATATCTT